GCGGGTAGGGAGGTTACGGGGGGGGGGGGGGGGGGCGACGTGTGAGAATTGAAACGAGAATGAAGAAATGAGAGAAGAGGATTGCACTAGCAAGAATGAGGATACAAATAGCAAACCCTAGAAGGGTTTGTACTCGCTCTAGAGCACCCCACTACAGGCTAGAGCATAATATTCTGACACACCCCCATAGCCAAAGTGGGGTGTAATCAGCAGAGCAAGCAAAGCAGTACAAGCTCAGGGTGGATCACAATGTCACCACACATTTTGAGCACAAGTTTGAAGCAATAGTTTAAAGTTCACAATTATGAGCAAAGCTAGAGGCTATCGCAGAGGGCTAGTGCGGAGGAGGAGGGACTATGAGAGGAGAGGAGGTAGTGGGTGGCAACTGAAGCTGCTGGCATACGGCGCAACTGGAGCAACTGACACACGGGCAACTGAGAAAAGTAGAACGAGAATGAATGAACTATGAATGAAGTGAGTACATATAGGAAACCCTAATCGGGTTGTACCCCCTATGGGATACCCCATTATAGCCTACAAAATAGCATAAGCTATAATGTTCTGACACACCCCCCATAGGCAAAGTGGGGAGAACAGGGGGTCACAAGACCAGTTAGGCAAAGCAAAGCAAAGCTCAGGGTGGATCACAAAGTCACCACACATTCTGAGCACAAGTTCAAGGCCACAAGGCCGGTTTACATGCAGGAGTACATATATATATAAGGCTAGACAAGCAAGAGCAGGTATATATATATGTAACAGTACAAGCAAGGTCAAGAGGTGAGTAAGTGAGGCAAAACAGAGACAAGACCTAGCTGAGTGCAGAAGCGATGATGATCACAAGGCGCAAGTGCCTTGGTGAAAACATTAGCAGTGTTGGCCTCAGAGGCCACGTACGCAAGCCGCAACTGTCCACGCTGGCTGTAGCTCACGTGCAAGAAAGTAGCGGAGAGCAATGTGCTTTGTCCTGTGCTCCATTTGCTGCTCTCGACACAAGGCCAGCATGGCCTTGTTGTCTACGTACAGGACTTGAGGAGAACCAGGCGGCTCTCCAAGGCCGGTCACCAGGTAGGTGAGCCAGCGAAGCTCTTGGGCAGCCATAGCCCCGGCGTAGATCTCAGCCTCACAACTGGAGCTGAGAACAGAAGACGAGCGGGTAGCCCGCCACGAGAAAGAGCCGGAACCAAGGCTGAAGGTGTAACCCTATGACGACCGCTGCGTAGCCTGATTCGCCAGCCCAAGAAGCGTCTGCGTGCCCAGTGAGGGACCACTGGACTCCGCCCCTCCAAGCACTAGCCCCATGCCCGACGTACTGCACAAGTAGCGCAACACCCTCTTAGCTGCAGCCATGTGCTCTGGTCGGTGTCTCCCAGGAGCAACATAGCGTGCAAGAATGCTAAGAGGGTATGCAAGGTCAGGTCGTGTGCAGGTCATCAGGTACATGAGGCAGCCAACAAGCTCTGGTACGGGCCACTCGACTCTACGGACTCATCCAAAGGCAGAGCTGAGAGCGAGTGGCGAGTGGCAGAGGAGTGGCCTGAGGCGAGGAGTACGTGAAGCCGAAGCGCTGAAGGACCTGCTGCACCATGTGTGACTAAGTCAGGGTAATGGTGCGGCGTGCTCTGTCCCGGGTGATCTGCAAGCCAAGGTAGCTGCGCAGTTTCACCCAGGTCACTACACGTGTGTCTCTTCTGCAGCTCGGACTTCACGTAGGCGAGTCCAGCAGTGTCAGCTGTGGCAAAGACCAAGTCGTGGACGTACACGAGGATGTAGAACGGCGGCAGAGAGGTGTCGGTGCGCAGAAACAGCGACGGTTCGGCAGTAGAAGGAGCAAACCCAAGAGCCGCAAGCGTAGTCCTCAGTGTGTCGTGCCACTCACGTGGCGCCTGGCAAAGACCGTAGACTGGACGCCGGAGACTCCACTGGGTACCAGGAGGGAAAGACCCACTGAAGCCAGGTGGGTGGCGCAGCCAGATCTCCTCGTGGAGGCTGCCCTGGAAGAAAGCTGTGTTGAAGTCGAGAGAGTGCAGCTCGTAGTCACGGTGAGCAGCAACGTGCAAACAGTACCCGAAGAGTGGTCATCTTCGGGGTGGGGGAGAAGGTCTGAAAGTAGTCAACTCCCTGCCGCTGACTGAAGCCACGAGCCACGTAACGCGCCTTGAAGACAGGCGGATAACCCGGCGGCCGCTTCACCCTGAAGATCCACATGCCACTGACGATGTTCGCCCCAGGAGGGGGGACAGCGTCAACGTAGGTGCCTGTGGACTTCCAGAAAGCCATCTCTGCATCTATAGCTGCCTTCCACTAGAGGAGTAGGGACCCTCTATCGCCTCCGCGTAAGAGCGCGGAGTCGGGATGTCAAGTGCATCCGGGTCTCCCTCAGGGGTAAGCAGTACAGACACGAGATGAGGTGAAGCAGCTGTTAGACACTGGAACTCCTCCTACCTGTCCACAAGGACGTCCGTGCCAAGGGAACACTCACCCCCGACGGACGGAGGACAGACAGGCTCAGAGTGAGCGACAAGACTAGCAGCGTAGTCTAGGCGATAGCAAGCAGCAAAGTCGACAAGCTCCGCTACAAGGGCAGACGAAGCAGTAGACTCGAAGGAAGGGTTTGTGAATACAGTAGCAAGGAGACGCGTGACAGTAGGACTGGCAGCACGGCGAGGAGTCCGACTCCGGGTCGGCAAGAGTAGGAAGAGAGGACTCAGGAGTTAGAAGGCAAAGGGGCACGCAAAGGAGCAGGTGACGGACGTAGAGACATCCGGTGCGTGCAAGGGACAGGAGGAGGACGCTGACTGCGAACCACCACCACTAGTGCGAGCAGCACGGACAGGCGACGCAGGGCAAGACGCAGGCTCACGACGCTCAGCAAGACCTCCAGTAGGACCAGTGTAGGGAGAAGGAGCAGGCAGTGAGGAGGCCGGCTGTAACTGTAACTGCGACGGGACAGGTTGTGGACACTCTAAGGGAGGAGGACTAGTAGAAGGCAAAGACCAAGAACCTGCTGCAGGAGTTGAACAAAGTACGGTCGAGGCCCGCGCGGAAACGCGAGACACAGCAGGGACAGCACCAGTACCCCCAGCAGGAGCACCCGCTCCAGCAGCACCTCCAGCAGCTCCAAAACCTCCAGCAGCACCAGGACTACCCCCTGCAGGACCGCCAACAGTAGTCTCAACGCCAACACGCTCAACAGCACCAGCTTTAGTCGAACCCGCAGGCCCAGCAGCTCCAGTACTAACAGTATGAGCACCTCCGGGACCCGCGACAGCAGCACCCTCAGTAGCGGAAGAACCTCCAGCACCAGCAGCACGGCTCCAGCGCAGGGCAAACCACTCGCGCAGCTCCTGTGGAGAGAGTGGCTCCCGCAGAGACGAAGTACTCGGAGAACCTCCAAGCGAAGCACCCCCAGGCTCAGCACCCCCAGGCAAAGTACCCCCAGGCGTAGCACCCCCAGGCTCAGCACCCCCAGGCCCAGCACCCCAAGGCTCAGCACCCCCATGCTCAGCACCCCCAGGCTCAGCACCCCAGGCTCAGCAACCCAAGGCCCAGCACCCCCAGGCTCAGCACCACGAGTCTCAGCACCCCCAGGCTCAGCACCCTCAGCAGCACCAGAGTCACCAGTGACCTCGACACGCTCGACTGCGTCTACCTGAGACACACCTGAAGGGGCATGACCCTGAGGGGGGAGGGGGTCTACCGGGGGGGGACCAGGTACAAGGAAGAGCGGGGGCGGGGGGAGGGACGGAGTGCGGTAGGGGAAGAGGCGTTAGTAGGGGACCGACTCGTCAAATGTGACGTCCTGGGAGGACAGAACACGGCGAGAGGTGGGGTGGTAGAACTGCCACCCAGGCGCGTCAGGGGGGAACCCCAGGAAGACGCAAGGAGCAGCACGAGGGGACAGCTTGTCCGCAGACAAGTCGCGGACAAACGCCCGAGATCCCCAGACCCGGAACGCCGATGCATCGCCAACTTTCCCCGTCACAGCAAGGCAGGGGAGGTCTCAGTTCTGGAGACCCTGGGGTGAAGGTTGATCTGATGCGCGGCGTACCTGACCGCAAACGGCCACAGAAAATGGGGGGCAGCCGCATGCATCATAGACGTAACGAGCGACGTCCATGACCATGCCAATGCGGCGCTCAGAAATCCCATTTTGCTGCGGAGAGTCCGGAAGCGTGAAGGTCTGACGGATGCCTCGTGCACGATAGTAGGCTTGCAGAAGGCCAGAGGAGAACTCTGAATATAAGACCCCCCGTGCCCCAAATTGAACTATACACCATAAATGACAGATTGATGTATGACAAATAAGTGTACCCCGGGTCTTAAAAATTTGCAACCGCCATAATGTCCACCCAAGCATATTTTTAAGCATTTGTAGGGAGTCTCCCGGGTCTTCTAGCCAGAACTATACGGTACTATGCAATAATTTGTGTTGGGTATTTCATGCCCATAGTGGTAGCTCCTACACTCTGGCTCTTAATCGCTTCTGTGCTTACACTGTGCCCGTCTCTTAGGGTTGACCACGTGGTCGCAGCATTTCGACGCACGTCATTTGTCGCGTCATTGGCACACGTCGATGTTCTGCCAGGCTGGGATGCATGTAGCTAACAGATCAAGAACCCGGATCTAACTCGAGCAATCGCTACGCACCACATGTACGTGTGCGAGCTCTCAGGACCCACACTTTTTCAGTGGTGAGTCTGACTGACCCAGGAAGGGGCAGACGAGATGACACTTGTATTTCCGCAGTGAATGCCATTTTCGCACCTAGTTTACAAATTTGTTACCACTCCGGCTCTGCAGCGAATTGGCGATATCGCATAACAAATTTCTCGTCGCCGCGCCATTACCCCAGCACCAAGCAGAGTCGTGTCGTATGTGAGCGTGCTCCGTTCAGTTCAGAGTATGGTTCCTGGTCCTGGCAGCGCGTCTCTCGTGGGTCCTCTCTCTCCGTCGCCACTTGTCGTCGCTTAGCGTCGCTCTCGTCGCAATCTCTTTCCATGCGACACTACCGCTGGGCTCTACTCGCCATACCCCTCGCTCCCACTCTGATCCTCTCGGCTCCGCGCGCCCACGCTGTTATGGCTTCCGCCTCCGGTCGTCAACGTCAACGTCACCGGTTGCTGATCCGTCAAAGTTCGGCTACCGGTCGACGGCGGAAGATGTGACGGCGGGCGTCGATTTGAGCGGCAAAGTGGCAATTGTAACGGGTAAGAGCATCGATGATTCGGTTTCGCCGTATGCAGTAAACGGGAGGAAACGGGAGACAAATTGGAGAGGAACGGGGAGAAACGGGGAAAAGAGGGGGGGAATTACGGGGGTGAGGGGAGAGAATGTGGATCAGAAATATCCTGCGTGTTGTGTGGTACGGGAAAGGATAAAAGGGCACGGTAGAAGGGAGGACATGTGAGGGGACGGGGGGGGAGGAGGGGGAGGTGGTGAGGGGACGAGGGGGGAGGAGGGGGAGGTGGTGAGGGGGACGGGGGGGGAGAAGGGGGAGGTGGTGAGGGGTAGGGATGCTTTGATACCGCAGATGTGAGGCACGGGAGCAGCAAGTGCAGCGGCAGTATGAGCTATTCTCTCCCACTCTCCCACCTTCCACCCAACGAGTCTTTACCGCCCTTGCATTTCTTTCTCGTCTTCGCCTTTCACAATCATACTGATCTTTCTCATCCGCTCGTCCGCTCGTCCGCCCGTCCTCTCGTCCTTGCCCGTACTTCCACTCCCCTCTCTTTTCCACCCTAGTCTCTTCCCCGCGCCATGTGAAAAAGCGTGTAAGACGCCTCAAAAGCTGTTTGTGCCATGTCTGAAAAAAAATTCAGTCCTCCACTCCAGCCTTCCTCCTCCCCCGCGCCCAAATTCATTTAGCACGCGCGAATTCCCCTTCCCGCGCGAACCTCGTCCTCGTGCCAATGTTCTCCCCACGCGCGCATTGTCGCCCCTCTCTCTTTCCGCCGCGCTAATTTCTTCTTCCTCCCCCTCTTCCGACACCCTTGTGGCGCGAATTTCCTCCCCCCAGGTGGCAGCAGCGGCATCGGCACGGAGACGGCGCGGGTGCTGGCGCTGCGAGGCGCGTTCGTGGTGCCCGTGGTGCGGAACACGGAGGCGGGGGAGGCCGCCAAAGCCGCCATCATCAAGGACATCGAGGGGCAGAGCGCAGCGGTGCGGGGGTTCCGGCGGCGGTGCGCGAGCGCGTGAGCGTGATGCCGCTGGATTTGGCGTCGCTCAAGTCGGTGCGCGCGTTCGCCGCGGATTACTTGGGCCTTAACCGCCCGCTGCACCTGCTCATGTACGCGCGGAGATGGAAGGGGTGCGGGGGGGGAGGAAAGGGGGCGAGGGAGGGGGAGGGGGTGAGTGGGTGAAGAAGGGGGAGGGCAGGGGGTGTAACGGGGTGGAGGGGCGGGAGGAGGGGAATGGGAGGAATAGGGGGAATGGGGTAAATGGAGGGGCATTGGGCTTCTATGATAACAGGTTTAGTTGAGCTTAAATGATCTGCTGTTAGTGCTGCCCCACTGCCATGCTGCCCCACTGCCATGCCGCCCCACTGCCATGCTGCTCCACTGCCATGCTGCTCCACTGCCATGCTGCTCCACTGCCATGCTGCCCCACTGCCATGCTGCTCCACTGCCATGCTGCTCCACTGTCATGCTGCTCCACTGCCATGCTGCTCCACTGCCATGCTGCTCCACTGCCATGCTGCTCCACTGCCATGCTGCCCCACTGCCATGCTGCTCCACTGCCATGCTGCTCCACTGCCATGCTGCTCCACTGCCATGCTGCCCCACTGCCATGCTGCCCCACTGCCATGCTGCCCCACTGTCATGCTGCTCCACTGCCATGCTACTCCACTGCCATGCTGCCCCACTGCCATGCTGCCCCGTGCCCCATCACAACACACTTCCCTCCTTCCCTCGCTCCCTCCCTCCCTGCTTCCCTGCCTACCTACCCATTATGCTAGTCATTCTACTGTTTCGCCTTATTTATTCCTCTCGTTCAGACCTTCCCCCTCTCCCCGAACCCACCCCACCGTCCCCTTCCCTTCGTCACTTCCTATGCAACAACCCCCCACTCGCCTGCCCAACCAATCCCACCACGGCCCACCCAATCTCAACCAACCCCTCCCCATCCCACCCCACCCCGGGCAGCAACAATGCGGGCGTGATGATATGCCCGTTCATGCTCACTGCGGACGGCCATGAGAACCAGTTCGGCACCAATCACGTGGGTGAGTGCAGGGAGGCAACCACGTGGGTGAGTGTAGGGGAGTAGCGACCATGAGGGTGAGTGCAGGGGAGCAGCAATGACGTGGGTGAGGCAAGCAAGCAGATTACATGCGCACAGCATGGGTGGCGGGGTGGAGTGTGAGGGAAGAATGGGAGTGGTGGGAGTGAAGCAGAGTCTACCAGTTGGCTGTTCTCTTTCTAGGCTCGAGTGCATTTGTTGCATTCCTAAGCTCATGGAGCTCTCAGGCTGATCGCACCACTCCTCCACTGCCTCCCTCTCCCCCTTTCTTCCGTCCCTCCGCCCCCCCTCCCCCTCTCTTCCCTTTCACCCTCTTCCCCCCTTCCCCTGCACACACCCCCCACCCAATTGCATCGCACGTCGTACCCCCTTTAGGCCACTTCCTGTTGACCAACCTGCTGCTGCCGAAGCTCAAGGAAACTGCCAAGCAGGAGGGCGCAGAGGCGCGCATCGTGATCGTGTCCTCCGCCGCGCACCAGTTCCCGTACCCGGGCGGCATCCGCTTTGACGCCATCAACGCCAAGGAGGGGTACGACTCGGTGAGGGCGTACGGGCAGTCCAAGCTCGCTAATATCCTGCACGCACGGGAGCTCGCACGGCGGCTCAAGGTGCATGGCTGTGGGAGAGGAGGGTGTGTATGAAGGAGTGGGTATGTGGGTGTTGTGTGAGTGAGTGGGTGTGTGTGTGAGTGTAGTTGGGTGGGAAGGGAAGAAGCAGGCAGGGGAAACGCGCCCAAAAAGCACATTTCATGCTACGTCTCAAATTCCTCACCAAAAATCTCTTCCTCTTCTTCCCGACTCTCCCTTATGATTTTTTTTTGTTTGTTTTGAAAACCTCAGTGCAGGTATGACTGTAAATGCTCTGTACCCATGGGTGATCGATCCTTCAACAATGGAAAAACCCCCTGCTTCCCTCGCCAACACCCTCCATCACCCTCCCTCCTCCCCTCTCTCCCCTTCCCTTCTCTCCCTTGATTCATGCGAGCAGGAGGAGGGTGCAGGAGTGACAGTGAACGCGCTGCACCCGGGGGTGATTGACACCAACCTCTCACGTCACATTGTGCCACCAGGGACCATCTGGCACACCCTCGGACGTACGTGGGGCGGTGGGCGGGTGTGCTGTGCGGGTGGGTGGGTAGGCGAGTGGGTGGGAAGGGCAAAGTGCGTTAGGGCATGCCACATGGGGTCTGCAGAACCGTTGGTTTGCTGAGGTCCAAGCAGTGTAGTCTGTGGACCAGGGTGAACCAGCTGTGAGCCAGATCTTGGACAATGCAAGTGCACTAGATAGTTACCATGTAACACAACTGGTCTGAGGCCTGGTTCGATTGGGTCGGAGCCATTTATACAGGGCCGCCATGGAAAATGGCAGGGGTTGATACTGGTCTGTTAGACCAGTCCGCGAAAGCAAGTGCGACGTGTGTCGAACTTGTTCCGCGGAGCCAATATCGCTTTGAGGTACAAGGCAAAGCCTTTCGTGCTACAGAGTGCCGTAAGCGACTGTCCGGTGTGTCTTCTACAAGGCACACCCTGGGACATAGTTGATGGGGTGGCCAGGTATTTAGGTGGTGTAGAAAGAGGGGGAAGGAGGGGCGTCTGAGGGGCTGATGGTTTGATGGAAGCTGTTTGGCACAAGCATGCTTTGTTCTTTTGCAGTAACTCTTGCTCGCTGCTTGGAGCTTGCTTCTGCGACGGCTTGGCTGAGCACCCATTGTTGTCATACTACCACTCGTCCTGTGCTTGTGCCTGTCCACTGCTGCCCTGCCATGTTGTGCAACCAACCACCAGGGGGAGCGTACAGCCTGGTGTTCCAGTGGTTCATGAAGACCATTCCTCAGGTACCCTCCACCTCCACCTACTTTATACCTCGCCTCACTGCACTTTGCCGTACATTACCTTAGGGGAGTGGTTAAAGTAGCTCTTCACCGCACTGCACACACTCTATATTACTCTGCACCCTACTGATATGCCTCCAACCAACCCTGCTGCAAGAGCGATTTGACGTGATTGAAGAAGAGCTGCCTCAGCTTTCACCAACCCCTCACCCCTCCTCACCCTTCCTCACCCCTCCTCACCCCTACTCACCTCACCTCACCTCACCTCCCCTCACCTCACCTCACCCGACCTCACCTGACCTCACCACCGCCCTCTGTTACTGCTGCATGGTTGGGTGCCCGCACGCACCCATGCATGGTTGGGGGTGTGCGTACTTTCCCATGCATGGTTGTTCCAACTTATCCCCATGCTCATGTGCACACTCCCTGCAACAAAGCCCAGTGGGGCTACTTCTCATGCTCCCTCATCTTTCAACCTTTCCCCCCTGCCCATTCTTACTCTCACACACTCTCTCTCTCAAGCCACTCTCGCATCGTGCCGCCTCGAGGCACACACCCTGTGCCTCGCTCCCCCCCACCCCCCCCCCCCCCCCCCCCTTACACACTCCTTGCACCTCCACCTGACCGCCCCGTATCCTCCTCTCCCCACTCTCCTCTCCTCCCTTCTCTCAGGGTGCGGCCACCTCATGCTTCCTGGCGGCGCACCCCTCAGTGGCGGGTGCAAGTGGGGGCTACTACGCAGACGCCACCGACCCCTCCACCCCCACCTTCACTCCCACCGCCACCCCCACTCCCCCCACCGCCGCCACCTCCTCCTCTTCCGCCCCCGCTCGCTCCTCCAGCGCCCTTGCCCCCCTTGCCCTTGCCAGGGCGGCGTCTCCCGCTAGGGGTAGACGCCGCACCGACCGACTCAAGACCAAGGAGGTCGGCCGCAGCAGCAGAGGCAACAGAGGGCAGAAGGGGGGAGGGGGAACACCCCTCAAAGATGGGGGTGCGCGGGTCACCTCGAGAGGCTCCTACAGCGACTATGCTCTTCTCTATCGCTAGGAGGGCGCCTTCTCGAGGAGGTCGACAGTGAAAGTGGTGGGACAGACCGAGAGGAAAAGATCCTTGACTACACGAAGGGAGTCAGGTAGGCGAGTGACCATGTAGTAGAGAGTGATGTACGTGGGGGGGTGGTTCTTCGCGCAGAAGTTAGCAGGAAGTGCAGCGCGGTAGCGAGTATCACTAGTGCGGAGGTGTGTAATAAGGTCAGCTACTGTGGGAAAGGCAGCAAGGTCAGGAAAGAGGTACGGTAGCATGAGACGGCTCAGTGCAGCGAGGAGTAGCGCGCGACTACAGCGTCGTACAAGGTCTGAGCACTCTTGTACTGACTAAAGTGCGCACGCTCAGAGGTAGGGAGGTGGCGACGCACAGCAAGACGTGCAGCAGCGTCGCGGGTGGCCCACTGGGAGCAAACAGTGGCGTCAGCATCAGCAGCAGGGGCAGGGGAAGCGCCAGAGGTGAGGTCAAAGAGAGAGAGGCCGTCTGCCCTATCGCACTGTAAGAACAGCTGCATGTCATCTACCCAGACCTCAAAGTCAATGGCCCGACTCTCAACGTCAAAGGCGAGGACACTAGGGGTAGCCATGACAGCAGTAGACTAGCAGTACTGAATGTAGGACACGGGTAGTGCAGTGACAGAGGTGTTGCTCTCACCAGACAGGGCGGTTTGGGCAGCTCAGCAGCACAACAACATGGCAACACTGCTGCTCGGACGGCCCAGCAGCAACAGCAGCTCCGCTGTACCAGCGGCTCAGGCGGCTCGAGCAGCTCAGGCGGCTCGGGCGGCACGGGTGGCTCAGGCGGCTCGGGCGGCTCGGGTCTCAGCAGCACAGGCGGCACGGGCGGCTCGGGTCCTCAGCGGCACAGGCGGCTCAGGCGGCTCGGGTCCTCAGCGGCACAGGGGACTCGGGCGGCTCGGCTCCTCAGCGGCTCAGGTAGCTCGGGCGGCTCGGGCGGCTCAAGTGGTTCGAGCGGAGCAGGCGGTGCAGGGCGGCGGAGCCGCAGTGGAGAATGGCGGCGGGGCCGCAACGAGGGGCGGCAGGGCCGCGACGTAGGGCGGCAGGGGCCGCGATGAAGAGCGGCAGGGCCGCGAAGGAGAGGTGGCGGGGCCGCGAAGAAGAGGCGGCGGGGGCCGCGAAGAAGAGGCGGCGGGGCCGCGAAGAAGAGGCGGCGAGGCCGCGACAAAGGGCGGCAAGGCCGCTAAGAAGGGCGGCAGGGCCGCGTCGAGAGAGGCGGCGGGGCCGCGAAGGAGGGTGGCGGGGCCGCGACGAAGGGCGGCAGGGCCGCGACTGCAGAGGCGGCGGGGCCGCGACGTGAGAGGCGGCGGGGCCGCGACCAGGGGTGGCGGGGCTGCGACGAAGGGCGGCAGAGCCGCGACGAGAGAGGCGGCGGGGCCGCAACGAGGGGTGGCGGGGCCGCGACGAAGGGCGGCAGGTCCGCGACGAAGGGCGGCGGGGCCGCGTCAAGAGAGGCGGCGGGGCCGCGACGAGGGAGGCGGCGGGGCCGCGTGAGTGTGAGGCGGCGGGGCCTTTTCGACGGGCGGCGGGGCCTCTAGGGCGGCTCGACAAAGCAAGAGAGAGGGCTCGGAGCGCGACTCAGGCCGAGCGCGCTTCGGGCAGGAAAAAAAATTATCGATGTGGTGGGCCCTAGGCACAGTTCCCACGGAGGAACCTGCTCGATACCATGAGAAAAGTAGAACGAGAATGAATGAACTATGAATGAAGTGAGTACATATAGCAAACCCTAATTAGGTTGTACCCCCTTTGGGATACCCCACTATAGCCTACAAAACAGCATAAGCTATAATATTCTGACAGGAACTAGAGCAACTGGCACACTGGCAACAAGCGCAAGTGGCACACGGGCTAATGGAGTAACTGGCTCTGCGACTAAAAGTAGCGGCAGACGAGCAACGGACTTACGGGCGACTGGAGCAACGGGCTCACGGGCGACTGGCGCAACGGGCTCACGGGCGACTGGCGCAACGGTCTCACGGGCGACTGGAGCTACTGGCTTCTCGGCGGCCACCCTTTTCAACCTCCCCAAACTATCCCACCCCCATTTCACACACCCCCTACTGCACCCCTAGGTTCACTCACACCCCACCCCTTGGCACCACTCCGTCAACTCCCACACACCCACCCCCCTCAGCGGCAGCTGCAGCAGTGGGAGACAGAGGAGGAGGAGGAGCAGGGGAGACCACACACCCGCCACCCCCCCACTCGCCACCCCCAAACCCGAACACAGGGCAGGGCGGGATGGCGGGTAGGGAGGTTACGGGGGGGGGGGGGGGGGGAGGGGCGATGCGCGGCCTCCCTGGGCGCGGGAAAAGGGGGGGGGGGGGCGGTGCACGTGCCCCCGGTGCGCCGCGGCTGGCGACGGGGTATGGCCGGGGCGGGGCCGGGGCCGCAAGTGGCGGCGACGGGGCCGCTAGGGTGGGCGACGAGGCCACTGGCGGCGGCGACGGGGCCGCTGGCGGCTGCAACGGGGCCAATAGGAGCGGCGACGGGGCCGCTAGGGTCGACGACGGGGCCGCTGGCGGCGTCGACGGGGCCGATAGGGGCGGCGACGGGGCCACGAAGGGGCCGCGAGGGGCCTGGAAGGGCGGCGACGGGCCGCGAAAGGGGCGGCGACGGGGCCGCGAAGGGGCCGTGAGGGGCCAAGAAGGGCGGCGACGGGGCCGCGAAGGGGCCGCAAGGGGCCTGGAAGGGCGGCAACGGGGCCGCTAAGAGGCACCAGACGTGAGATCGAACAGGGAGAGGCCGTCTTTCCTATCGCACTGTAGGAAAAGCTGCAGATCATCGACCCAGACCTCAAAGTCAACAGCCCGACCCTCAGCATCAAAGACGAGGACGCTAGGGGTAGCCATGACAGCAGTGGCAGCAGTAGCAGCAGTGGCAGCAGGAGCAGCAGTGGCAGTAGGAGCAGCACTGGCAGCAGTAGCAGCGCAGCGCGGCGATGCTCTTACCAGGGCAGAGGGTCGCAAGTGGTGGGGCAGGGCCGAGGCGCACCGGCAGGGACGGGCCGAGGCGCGCAGGTAGGGCCGAGGCGCGCCGGTAGGGGCGGGCCGAGGCGCGCCGGTAGGGACGGGCCGAGGCG